ACGCAAACCCTAACCCCACTCCTACACGTGTTCCCTCCATAACCGCATAACACCAACACTTTAAGTAAAACCCTATTTCATACTGCATGAGAAATCATACTCCTAAGCACCACTCTCATAGGAAAAGACTACAATCTGAAGACATTACACTCACAAGGAAGGACCCAAAAACCCTGCAACAACCCAAATTCAAACCTGTCTCGTTGCACCTTGGTTTGCACTTAGCAAAAAAAAAATGCTAGAACGTAAAACATAATTCAACCAAGATGCTTAAACTAAAAGCAAGGTGCACCCATTACAAGAAAAGTTGGAGTTACATACGACCAAAATCCGCATGTAACCTCCAAAATCCGTATGTAATGATCGTTACATATGGACAAAAACCCATATGTAATGTGCTTGTAGGGAATGTTACATACAAATTTATCCGTATATAATTACATACAAATTTATCCGTATGTAATCACCAAACAAAATGGAAATGTAGTGTTCCTTGTATCATTGGCAAAGACTTGGACAAAATTTTTAGACATTAAAAATTAAACCACATAGACCTGGACAAGATTTCACAATAATACTTAAATCATCATAAACAAACATTTCACATTAATACTTTTAAATATTGTTTACATGACTAAACAATGTTATAAAGAAGTTCTAGATTATTTAATAGAGAGTCATACAAATTCTAAACATAACTAAGACTAATAATCACAATAATAATTTTCATCTTCAGGTTGATGTTATGGTTGATCTTCTAGTTGATGTTGTGGTTGATCTTTTGGTTGATGCTGTGGTTGATCTTTTGGTTCATCTTGTGGTTGAACATCATTCTGTGGCACATTTTCTGGTTGATCATTCTGTTGAAATCGAAAACAGGGTTCAACCAAGATGCTTAAACTGAAACCAGCGTGCACCAAAATGTTGAAATTGAAAACAAGATTCAACCAATGCAATAAACATATAAGAATTATGAATATAAATACAATGAATGAGTTACACCATCAAATCCACAGAGTTTATACAAAGTTAATGAAAAACATACACCATGTACAATTACAACGTATAGGATTAACTCTCTTTACCTTCACTCTCAGCTAACACTCTTACTCTTCTTTTGATTTAAAGGCTGCCTAACTACTCCTTTGTTGCAGAAACTGTGATCTTTTCTCCTCTCTACACTCATGGTGGTCTATTTCCCTCTTCTCCAATGCCTCTCCAATATTTATATCTTCCAAGGACCTAACCTTTAAAAAAATCACTCATACGTTATATCTTTTCTTTTCTTTATCTTTAAGACCATTATATATATATATATATATATATATATATCACTTCTATTTTAAAAAACCGTTTACATGAAACAATATATCCCTTACACACTTTTTTTTTCTGTTTTTATTTTAACAAAAATGTTCTTCAAGACTCTACATTCACCACTCCTTCTCCTTCTTTAAAACTCTTTTTCTTTTTAAATGCAACAAAATCACATTTTGTCTTTTCTCTCTCTGACTACTATTCACTTACGTTTTATTTCCAAAATGGAAAATGATACTTTAACAATAGCATTTGACAACATTTTGACACGGGTCACATGTCACAACGTGATTGGTCCACATGGAAAACAAAATTAAAAAATTAGAATGACCTGGAAACAGAAAATAATACCATTACCCATATGACCAAACATTTCTAAAGTTATGCAATATCAAATGATGTAGGAACCTATACTTATCATTTACTCATGGTCTTGTGACATTTAGAAGAGATTTGAATGTCAAACTTAGCATTTATCAGTAAGGAACCAGAATTCTACTAATTTCAAAACATCATCCAAGAGTTTAGAGAAAACATATAGCACAAATTTGCATACAAGCCTTCTATTCTTTCCAAACTCAGACTTACAAGGTATTTATTCAGTCAATCATCTAGTTCACTCTTACAAACCAAAAAAATGCATACTTTCCTCACAAAAAACCACAGCAACCACTATATGTTCTAAACAACTTCATCCCACATTAAACCATACCACCAAAAACACCCGAATAACACAACAATCCATAAATGCCCAAACAAATTTAAACAAACTAAACCAACCAAACACAAAAAAATGAATTACCCAAAACAACAGAGGCAACCTTCATAAAGCACCTCTTATGGCTTCCAAGTACGTTGTTTCCAAAACACCTAAAGTTTGGTGTCTACAACGTTGCCTTCAACAGCGACAGTCCGACCAACACTAACGCTTCTTTGTGGCTGGGAGGGAGGAATATCGGTGGGTGGGTAGACGTCCACGGCGGCACTCCGACAGACAACGGACCGCGACGCTCTAGGGAAGAGGCACAGAAATGGAACGGTGGGTGGGTAGAGACGTAAGCAATGACACTCCGACGACAATGGGTGAGTGGGAGGGAACTCCTTCTCTCGTAGGTTTGATGGGTGGGAGGAAGCAACACTCTCTCTACATTTCCAATTCTGTTTCCACGTCATTCTAATTTTTTAATTTTGTTTTCTACGTGGACCAATCACATTGTGACATGTGACCCGTGTCGAAATATTATCAAATGGTGTTGTGAAAATATCATTTTCCTTCCAAAATACATACAAAAGTACCAACTTTTAATAAAATAATACAAAAATATCCATATAAATTATAAAAAAATATCATATATAAACAAAATAATAAATAATAAATTAATTTATCCATTAATAATTTTAACTAAATCCATAAAACTAATTCATTTATTTTATTATATATTTTATTTTATTAATTTTTTTTTCAAATTTTACATAAACTTATTCTAATTTACTTCAATCTTAAAAAAATAAATACATCAGTCAAAATCTTAGAAAAAGTACAAAGAAAATAAAAATGATAGTTTTTTTTAAATTATAATTTTTTATAAAATAAAACTTGATTAACTAATTTTCTATTTATAGCTTGATCTTTTGATAATAATATAATTAAGTTCTACTTATAAAATGTATTTTCTAAGTCTTTATAAGAATATTTTGGAAAGTTACATCGCTTTAAATTAAAGAGTCACAAGATACTCGGAAATGAACATCCATCTCATGGGTGAGTAAATTAATGGACCCACCATTTTGGAACAAAAATGAAATGTCTCCTTTCTCCTTTAAGGCTTTACGAAACCAAGGGCATTTGTTAGTCATCCTTCCATATAATGTAGGAAGTTCCACAATTAGATATTGGCTTTTTCTATTACCAGGAATTAAAAAAAAATCATATAAATTTTTTAGATTATTTAACAATTTAAATTTATTCTAATAATTTAAAACATAAACAATTATAAAGATAACTATTGAAACAAATACATTAATGTTCTTCCTCAAACCTAATTTAAAAAATTAAATATTATTTATCCTTCTATCCAATCAATACAAGATTTTTTATTTCAAAACCAAAACAATTTGAAATAATACTGTCAAAATGAATTCATGCGCTATTCTTACAATACTATAATCGTACCTTAATTATTTTTTTACCATGTCTTGATATTTTACAATTAATTTAATCTAATAGTAGTAATTATTTAAAATATTTATTTAAAAATAAGTCATACTTATCCTGCAGGTGTCGATAACATCACGCAACCGAAATCCAAAATCACTTGTCTTCTTCAGCCACGTGCCCATCCAACTTTCTCTCTGCCTATATACATAAAAGTCTTTATATACAAATAAAAAATTATTATTCTAAATTAAGTATACTAATTCATTTTTATTAATTGATTTTTATGTATGTGATTATTTATAATTTTCATAAGTGTTTTTATTGGGATAATAATTGTAATAATAACATTCTTTTTTATCAAATGACTCAAAATATAAAATATATACTTATGTTCGTACTAATAATACAAGGAGAATAATTCATTTTCTAAATTTGTAATTTAAGATAATACAACAACCTATCTAAATGGTGATTCTTACAAACAATCTGTAAAAATATTATTTTTCCTTTAAAATGTCTAAATTTCTAATATATTAAATGTAATAATAAAACTCTTCATTTCAATGTAAGTACCTTATATTTCTGATTTGCTTTTAATTATATTTTTAAAAACAGAATTGTATGCTGTAAATCACCCGTATGTTAAAAACAACTCCATGCTATAAATCATACTCTATTATTTTTATGTTTATTGTTATTAATTTTTAAATATAGTGGCACTTTTTTTCACTAATAAATGTATCAGAATCTCTTATATTATGTAATTTTTAATTCTGTATTAATATAATTATTTCTTTTGTGTAATTTAATAAGATGTAGTTTTAATTCTTTAAAAATTTTAAGGGTAAAATACCGTTATTTCTACATATTGATATTTGAATTGTAACATAATTAATTTATAACGTTTTTAATATAATAACACTTGGATTGAAAATATTAACTTGTATTAAGACATAAATAAATTTTAATTTTAAATCAAAATTGAGAGATTAAAATCTTAAAATTTAATAACACTAATGTAACATGTTATATTATGACAACATAAATCAATAACCTTATAATTGATCCACACAATTGTTTATTATTAGAATTCGAAAAAATATCAATAATAAGCTAAAGTTGTTTAATTTAAAAATAAAAATAAAGTATATAAATACATTTTTATAAGAATCCATATTGCATATATATTTAAGATTACAGAAAGATTTAAGTCTCGCTAAAAATATAATATGTAAACCAATTTTGAACATTATGTAATTGTAAGTAGAAAAACATGCATTCCTTTATGTTTGATAAATAAAATGAATTTATAATACAAATAATACTATGAAAAATCACTTTTAGTTAAGGTTTTTGAGAATTTTAGACACTTTTACTAATAAAAGAAACCTAAGAATATAAAAAGTTACAATTCTTATTTCTAAAATTTATGATTCTTTAATTCATAAACCTCAATTTCAATTATGTACAGCTGTGAATAGAAAAATTCAATTATGTACAGTTGAATTAAGGTAAACTCAGATTGTATTAAGAAAGAACAGCATCATAGTCAACATTCAAAGTTCATAACTTCAACCTCTGAAACCAATTCTTCCTTGTCTTCTCTTCTCTTTCATTGAGAAGAAAATGAACAACCCCAACACCGACAGCTTCTCTCTGTTGGGTGTTCTTCATTCCCCCCACTTCTCTGAACTTCTCAGGGATTTCGCCACGCGAGAACTCAACGCGTTTTTATGGCTATCTCTTGTTGTTGTCACCACCCTTTTGCTCAGAAGACTCTTTAGCCTATTTGGGATATGGCGCAGGGCTAGAACCATTCCTGGGCCTCCCTCTTCCTCGTTTTTTGGAGGCTGCAAGCTCTTTTCCCGTCCAAATTTCACCTTCACTGGTGGGTTCTCCATGATCATTTCTTTTCTTTTTCTTTTTTCAGATGACAATGATCCATAAACTTATATTTATAAGCTTTTTCCTATTCAGTTATGTAGAAACTGTTTTTCAACTTTAACTTAATCAAGAATATTTTGTAAAAGTGGAAATTCATTCAAAAGGTCTTATTTGTCTTGAATCTGACACAACCTTTTCTTTACTGGAACTTGGGACTTGCTGTGAAATCATTGGCTGGTTGTTGTTTTTTTATCCCCCCCTGGATTATTTGAATTTATAGTTATCATCAGAAAGAATCAGTTTTTTGGATTTTGCAAGTTAATGGGTGTTACTGTGATATTGACCTTGTTTGATATATGACATGTGATATGAGTTTTACCTTCGATGCCATGATTAGTTGAATTTGTGGTTATTATCAGAAAGAAAGAACCGGTCTTTTTGGTTTTAGTGAAATGGAGTTTGGTTTTGGTCTATTAATCTGGATTTTGCTAGTTAGTATAATATGGGGTCTTGTGATATGGGATTTTGAATGTTGTTTTTTTTCTTCTTTTATATTCTGCCGTATGGATTAGTTAATTCTGTGGTTATTTTCATAAGTAATCACTTTCTTTCTTTCTTTTACTCGGTGGGGTCTTATTCTAGAATGTATATTAAAGGGATTTTGTGCAGTAATGTCAAACTCAGGTTCTTTTGCAGTTTTGCACTTGTAGTGATGTGCTGTTTGCTCTGAGTAGTGATTAGTATTATGGCTGGATGTAAATTTATAAACTAATTGTGTACTTATCCTTTTTTATTTTCAGACGTGTTGTCAGAATGCCATAAAAAGTATGGACCTATTGTTAAACTGTGGTTAGGTCCTACTCAGCTTTTGGTGTCAGTAAGGGATCCAATCTTAATCCAAGACATGCTTATAAAAGCCGAGGATAAGTTGCCTTACACGGGAAAACTGTTTCATCTGGCCTTTGGACAATCAAGCCTCTTTGCCCCTTCATTTGAAAAGGTGACATGTGAATTATGGTGTTTATGACCGAAGTTGAGATTGAATTATGTAATCTGTTCCTCAATCTTAAAATGCTGTGGTCCATTCAGTTCTGAGACCTTCTTAGTTCTGTTCGAACTACTCTTTTGTTTGGATATTTTCATTGTGAATAATTTTAGATGTTGTCTGCAGAAATTACAGATCCTGACATTTTTTTAGTATGATGTTCTCATTCTGACTCTAGCAACTTGGAATGTAATTTAAAATTTTCATAGGTGCAAAAGAGAAGGGAATTATTGGCAACAGAGTTAAACGAAAGATTGCTGAAGAATGGTGATATGATTCCTGTGAAAGTTGCAGACTTTATCACAGATAAAATAGAAAACATAAAAAAGAAAGGAGGTATTGATTCCAGTTTGGTTTCTCAACATATCGCTTTCACTATAATGGGTGTCACATTCTTTGGAGATGGCTTCTTGGCCTCGCCGAAGGCTGCAATGTATGAGGAACTGTTCATGACCATAGCTAAAGATGCTTGCTTTTGGGCCTCCTATAATGTTACTCCTTTCTGGAGACGTGGATTTTGGAACTACCAATGCTTATGTACAAAGTTGAAATGCTTAACTCAAGACATCCTTCAACATTGCAGAAAAGGATGTAAACTATCTAGCCATACTAAGCATGATGTACATAATGAAAGTTCCAATAAAGAAATGAAGTCAGCAGATGGTGCACAATGCTGTTCTGATGATGAGTTCCAAGATTACTATTTCTTTCGAGATCTTAAGGATCATCAAGATGGTAAAGAAGAATCTTGTGGGAATGTAATGCGCATGATATTTCACGGATGTCAAACTACCTCTGTTCTAATCACGGATGTATTGACTAGGCTTGTCATGCATGGGGAAATACAGGATAAGGTTTCATTCTCTCTGTGGTGTATCCAATTCTGTGAATAATTTTATTTTATTTTGCTCTCCAATGCTAAAGAATTCCTATAATGAATATTGCTAAATCATGATGTAGATTTGATGAATCTATCTCTCTACAAAATTAAAACTAGGGATGCACTTTTGTTTTACAATCTGCTCAATAAAAGGAGGGCTAGTTAAAGTGAATTTGTTTTGATATGTTGAAGATTCATATGAACTAGAGAAAAAACGAATTTACAGTATATAAACAAGTACAAACTGGTTTTATAAGGTTGATTTAGGCTTAAAGTCTATTTCTTAACATATTAGTTTAGATTTTTTTTATCTTTTAGGATAGACATTTTCTGTTAAGAAAATGCACTTGGTCTGTATCTCTTATTAACCCTTGCCAGTGGTTCTGTCTGCTATATACAGCAGCTCTGCTATATGCATCTGCTCTTGTCATAGCAAAAGTTACGTTTTCTCATTTTCATTTTAGGTGAAATTTCTTTATTGTTGTCAACACTGTAACAAACTGTTATTCTAGTATCTTTTGAAGAAAAACTATATTTCTGTTTGAATAGATTTCATTTACATGCTCAAAGGTGGGTTTAGTGCAGGATTTTCACTATCAAACTCTGCTTTTTAATTTGACTGAAGGTTTAATCCTTTTCGACATCCCTATTTATGTACGAATGTCTCAATTGGGTCCTCGTTTTCTAAAGTGTATCAAAATGGTCCTTAATTTTGAAAATTGATATCAATTGAGTCCTTTCCGTTAAGTTGGCTGGACGGACGGAGTTAAAAAAATTGATGAGTGGATGCTGAGATGACGAACGAACGCTCGTCCACCAGCGAACGAACGCTCGTCCACCAACGAACGAACGTTCGTCGACCACCGAACGAACGGTCGTCCAGTGTGGAACGAACGGTCGTCCAGCAATAAGAGGTCGAAGAGCGTTCGTTCTCTGGTGGACGAGCGTTCGTTCGCTGGTGGACGAGCGTTCGTTCGCTGGTGGACGAACGTTCGTTCGTCATCTCAGCATCCACTCATCAATTTTTTTAACACCGTCCAGCCAACTTAACGGAAAGGACTCAATTGATATCAATTTTCAAAATTAGGGACCATTTTGATACACTTTAAAAAACGAGGACCCAATTGAGACATTCGTACATAAATAGGGATGTCGAAAAGGATTAAACCTTGACTGAATGCAGTTCTTGATGTTTGCAAGCCCACCTGGTGCTTATTTGGCATGCTTTTGCAGGTTTATTCAGAGATTAGAATGGTAGGAAGAAACCCATCGAAATATGAGCATGAAGATGTTTATAGGATGCCGTTGTTATTGGCTACAATTTATGAATCTGCACGTCTTCTTCCCACTGGTTCAATGCTGCAGAGATGTTCTTTGAAACATGGTGAGATGTTGCTTCTCAAGCATAGTTTTTTGTGTACAAAAACTAACTAATTCATAATCTTTTCAAGTTATCTTGCTTAGTAGTGGGCACTTCATACATGTACTTATTTGTGCATTGCTTGGTTTAACGTTAACATTGTGATATCAGTTGGGAGCTAGTATCCCATCTCCACAAAAGCACGTTAAGTCACTGTTATTTTCATTCAAGATTTCTGTTGAAGGAGAGAAAAAGAGATGCTGAAAAGTATCTGTATGAACTACACCACATAGTACATTTTATATAAACTGGCTACAGTAAATCAAGAAACTATGGGAGATTTGATTTCTATATGCATGATATGTTATGCCTATAAATTCGGTTCAAATGAAGATGGTGGTATAATTCTAAATATCATAATTAAATGAATATACAACTCATAATGTAAAAGAAAAAATAACTCCTAAGTGATAATCTAAGATACTCCACCATATTGTAACATGATATTATCAGATATTTCTATCAATTTAAAAATACAGATTTGGATATTCTAGTTCCAATAATTTAATTAAAAAGGGCTAGTTTAAACGGTAGGTTGTGGTAATTTATGCAATAGAAATATGATGTACGTGCATGATTTGGAAATAATTGTTTTTTAGTTATTCTTAATGTATATTTGAGGATTCCATTTGTACTCCTACTGGTATTTGTATTCATTAATGCTCCTCCTTACTTCAGACTTGAGCTTTGCATCTGGTGTAACCATTCCTGCTGGAGCTGTATTGGTTGTACCAGTTGAATTGGTACAGAAGGATGAATTCAATTGGGGGAGTGATGCAAGTCATTTCAATCCTTACAGATTTCTCTCAACTGTTACAAATAGATCAGGTATGAGCATTTGTCATCTCACACCTTCCCCATTCCTCTTCCACCCTTCTAATTTGGCAATGTCAATAAGAGAGAAAAAAATCTGTCCATTTGGGATTGAAAATTGCTAGTGTAGTCTGATGGGGTCTTTCAAGAGATAATTACCACAGAGATATAATACAACACCAATGAGACATTAGTCCAACCCAAATATAAGAGATTGACACTATCTTTAACCAAAAACTTTAATACAAGATGTTCAACTTGGATTCCCAACATAATCATTACGATATTAAACCTTTATATTCAATAAATTGTTTATATGTTCTCTGTAGGTGGTAAGAGAGAAAAAATTGTTGCTCATCTATTGCTAATCTTTGATATTAAACTCTCAGGTTCTGCTGAAGACCTTTCTAGTAGAGGATTCAGTTCATTTGTACTAAATGATCCAAACGAAAATGCAGCATTCTTGCCTTTTGGATCAGGTGCACGGGCTTGCATCGGACAGAAATTTATCATCCAACTTGTTGCCTCAGTGTTGGCATCATTGCTAAATAAATATGAGGTTTGTCCCGTGAACCAGCACTTTTGCTCTTGCTTCCTATGTAATGAGAGAAAGACGGGAACACAATTCTATACCATAAAATTACATAAAGTCAAATATCAAGTACTTGCCAATTCAGCAAAGGAAACAACATATAATGTAATGTAAAGCAAGAAAATAGAAAATGAAAGTAACTGACTGAATGCAAAGTGTTGGTACACTTATTATGGTGAGGATTGCTTTTACTTATATACTTAGCATTACTTATGTTAGATCTCCAACAATTACAAGTATTGTCTGAGTTATGATTCCATTGATGTTACAACATTATTGTGTTATAACTTTTTCAATTGTTCTGTAACTGATGTTAGTTTTGAATGCAGATACGGCTTAGCACAGACTCAAATGATGACTCAAACACAACCTTGAAGAATAATCTTCTGCAGCGTCATCCCAGTTCACGGATATTATTCGTGAGAAGGGACCAGTGAAAGAAAAGAAGCACAAACACACTGTGTAGATAATAAACTTGGTGTTGTGATTAAAGTTAACAACACCAAAAATATCTGGACCTTTCCTTTTTAGTATCACTACACTCCTTTTTCCAAGATGAATGGGGAAGTTCTCTGGCTCATTGTGGTGTTTGGGAGGATGAATCTAACCTGAGTTTCTTAGCTCAAGTTTTTTTCCTCCCTGTTTTTAAACATTGCCCTGGTGTTGGCTTCAGGCCCTGACACTTATTTTTTTGGTGTTTTAAGCACTTTGGGTCAATTGTTTCTTTGGAGCCTTTCTCTTCTCTGGATGTGGATCTTTTGCTTTTCTTATGTCATCAACTTTTTCACTTCTGAAGGAAGTTTGTTCTTGTATCTGATATTTTCCAAATAAAATGTACTTACTTGGATAGTTTGAAGTACCCCTTATCTATCAAAATATATGTGGACACTCTTGTTTAGCCTAAGGGCATATTCACCATTTTTATAGTTTTATATTGATATTAGAATTGTAGTGGAAGTTCTATGTCTACTAAAGATGAATTTAGAAAATATATGTGAGTTCAAATTTTATTTTACAAACTGATTCTGTGAGTTTGAGTTGTGTTTAAAGTTTATTTTTTAATATGGTATCATAGCATGGGTTAAAAAGTCTGAGGTTTACAGCTTCATGTGCTTGAGTCCCTTAATCTTTGTCATCTACTTTGAAAATATAAGTAGGCGTTGGTATATAAATCTTTTAACTTAGACAACGGAGGATTATTATACCTTTTTTAATATTTAAAAATATAATAATTTGTTCTTCTCAGTTAGATTAAATTTAATTAATACTTGAAATCGACTTGATACCATGGAGTTTGTTTATCATCCCATGTTAACACATCAAGCGTGATAATTAAGAAAGATTTAATAATATGTAGTATAGTAAATTTAAATTTCGATTAATTATTTTTAAATAACTCTAATATTGTATTAATAATATCATATTAATACGTAAATTTTAAGTTTAGTTAAATTTATAAAATTAATTTAATAAAATAAAGTTGGTTATATATATATATATATATATATATATATAAAATTGAGCTTTATTCATAATAAATATAGGATCTTCAATATAATAACACCAATAATAATAAATTGACAATAGTTGTATCACTATCAATAGATTTAATAGACTTTTTTGTTTCCAGATTTGCTTATATTTCTAAAAAAGTTCCTAGTTTAAGAAAAGTGACAACTTGGTCCTCAATTGGTAAATATTGTATCAACATCGTCCCTTCTGTTAAATAGAATCAAACGAAGTTAATGCATTGATGATTTGGCAGCAGACAATGATCACGTGTCATTATTTATATGTATCAAGAATCACGTGTTATGTAATTGGAGGTTGAGATGGATATTGAGAAATTGGGTGTTTCAAATTGTGGAAAAACCGAGTTAGGGCATGGCATAGTTAGGGCATTTTGATTTTGTGCAAGAGAAGAGAGAATCATGCATTGCGAACAGAGACTAAGACGGTTAAGGAAGATTTCGTTGACTGAACATAGGGGAGTTGGACGCGCATTTGTAGAGTTTCGAAAAACATAATTCGAAGGTGTGAATGGTAGCTTTTATTGTGTGTGTCGTTGTTTTCATTGTGGTCCTCCCCTTCCCCCCCCCCCCTCGAAACTTTTGATTTCTGTATGGTTTCTTTATTTTTTGTCCCCTATTATGTGTGTTTTTGGTTTGTTTGTAGTGTCCCAGTGTTGTTGTGGTCCCCATGTGTGAAAATATTTCTTTATGTTGTATTTGTGGTCCTTGTAGAAAGTTGTTTTACTTCTTTATGGTATGTTATTGGTGTGTTTATGGTTCCCTATAGTAGTATTTTGTTTGTAGTGTAGATGACATTTCTATTAAGCATGTGTTTAACTGTCAAAATTTGTTGTTCTTTATAATGCTTGTAAAAGCATTACTTTTATGTTAGTTGGGTAAAGTAAATGTAGTCTGACAACAATTTGGATATTAGTTTAGATGGTCAACTCAAACATTGAAGTTGTCTTTCACCATGGAGGTAAATTTGAGAATAATGAGACATTCGGATACCATTATGGTGAAATCACAACTATTAAAATTGACCCAGATAGATGGAGCTATTTTGTAATTTTATCCATCTATTATGTGTGCTTTTGGTTTGTTTGTGGTGTCCTGGTGTCGTTGTGGTCCCCCATGATGGTGTGTGAAAATATTTCTTTATGTTGTATTTGTGGTCCCTGTAGAAAGTTGTTTTACTTCTTTATGGTCTGTTATTGGTGTGTTTATGGTTCCTATAGTAGTATTTTGTAGTGTAGATGACATTTCTGTTAAGCATGTGTTTAACTGTCAAAATTTGTTGTTCTTTATAATGTTTGTAAAAACATTACTTTTATGTTAGTTGGGTAAAGTAAATGTAGTCTGGCAACAATTTGGATATTAGTTTAGATGGTCAACTTAGACATTGAAGTCGTCTTTCACCATGGGGGTAAATTTGAGAATAATGAGACATTCAGATACCACTATGATGAAACCACAACTTTTAAAATTGACCCAGATAAATGGAGTTATTTTGTAATTTTGCCCATTCTAAAGGGGATGAGTTATAGGAATGTAAAGGAGTTATGGTATTCATTGGGTCGTGGTCCTGTGTTAGAATATTCTTTAGAACTATTATCTGATGAATATTGCTATGTTGAATGGTCAAGCTCACCTGTTTGTTATACACATGGTCTATGAGCCTCAATATCTTCATATGATAGAATACTTTCCTGAAGCCCAAGTTGAGAGACATAGTGGTGAAGCAAAAGTTGAGAGTCAGAGTGTTGAAAAGCAAGTTGAGATAGAGGTTGGTGAAGTAGAAATTGAGTTAGACCCAAAGGAAGAGGATGATGGTCCTGTTTTGGGAGAGGTTAACATTAATGTTGGTGTGGATGTAGATGGGCAAGTAGAGGCAGAGGGTCAACCAGAGGTGGATGCAGTGGCTGAAGCAAAGGTTGAGGCATTGGGTGATGTAGAGGGTGAGGTAGAAGCTGAGGTACAAGCTAAGGTAGAAGCTGAGGTAGAGGCTGATGTAGAAGCTGGGGTAGAGGCTGAGGTAGAAGTTGAGGTAGAGGCTGAGGTAGAAGCTGATGCAGAGGCTGAGGTACAGGGTGATGGTGTGGAGGCATAGGGTCAGGCAAAGGATGAGGCAAATGGGGAGGGAAACATTGATGTTGGTGTGGATGTAAATGGGCAAGGATAACATGTTGATGCTCAGGCTGAGGCAGAGGTTGAGGGACATGATGAGTATGATGTGAGAAGTTGGAATGGGTCCGAAGAAGATGTATTGACTGAGCATGGAGATGAAGTCGAGCATGATATATTTGAAAGTACTAACGAAGTCCTTGTGATGATACTTGCTTGTGAATGTGTTTGATTGTGGTTAAATGAAACATGTGATATTGTGATAGTAGAGTGAAGGAGTGATCTCTTATACACGTGTGTGTTTGAGTGAAACACTTTATCTGGTGAGGAAAGATTCCATGAGCACATGATTACATCTATGCTTAGTTGATTGGCTATTAATGAGAATATCATTTGTTGGATATTATGTGATTATGTGAACACTAAAGCATGTGTGCATCTTGACTGAATTCTTTGTGTTGAGCTGATTTTGAGTAATTACTTATCTTGAAAGAAGGAGTTTTGAATGTGGTGAACCATTGTATGGATTGGTGGAAGATTGAGTTACAGTTTGCTTGAGGACAAGCAAAGTTCTAAGTTTGGGGTTGTGATAACGTTGAAAAACTGTTATTTTATACTTAATTTTGACCTTAAAGACAACCTTTATGACTTAGAAATTAGCTTGGAATCATGTTTTTGATTAAGTTTTGGAAATAAGAGAGTTGGATAGGTTTTATCCTTGGTTTTCCTTGTTTTTGCAGGTTTTAAGATGAATTGAATGAAAGAAGTGAAGTAGCCAGAAGTTGGAATCAAAAAAGGAAGAAAAAGTGCACAAAAGAAGAGCCACAAGTACCGCTCAACGCCACTTTTACGCTGAGCGGTACTCTGAAGTCTCGCAGTTAACGCTGAGGGGTAAAACTACACCTGAACGTCAAAATAGAAGAATCGCACTTACTGCTGAGCGCCATTTTATTGGGCCTTGAGCCAATTTTCTGTAATTTTTAGGAAGCTATATAAGGTTTTAGCCGAATTAGGGTTAGTATCTTTGGACAGAACGAAGCAAAATCACACTTTCTTCACCCCTTAGAGGAGGATTTTGGATGCTCAAGCTCTATTCTTCAACTTCTAGGGTTCTATCTTTTATTCTTTCATTATTTTTCATCTAGTTTCACCATGTCTATGGTGAACTAAACTTTCATTATTGTTGGGGAACTGATGTAATCCTTTGAAACTCTCATGTATTGAATTTGTTCTTTAATCTATATGCTTTCTTTCATTAATTGTTAGGGTTTTTCTTCTTTACTCTATGCATGCTTTGTTTAACTCATTCAATTGCATGATCATTTATGTTACTTGTATGAACACATATAAGTAAATCTAGAACTGAAAAAATTCTCCCAAGAGCAATGTTGCCTAGACATAGGGATAGGAGGATTGGTTGCCTTTAATCTTCTGTGCAAATGTAATGCATGAATAATTGCTAGGGAGACAAGACATTGTAAACTAGTGATTAGGAGTAGGCTTTCTTCACTGAGACATCGAGTTTAAGGTAAATTAGAAAGTGACATTAACATTAATGAAGAAAGATGAATTCTTGAATACATGAGAGTGGATAGGATGAATCGGTAAACCCCAACAACATAATCATCCATATTTTACATCAACCGCTTTTGCATCTTTCAGTTCCATTGTTCAGAACCTTGCATCTATATTTAATTTTCACGATTCAACAATAATATTTGTGTTTACAAGTCTAAGATAATCAACAAATCACATAACTGTTTAGGCCGTGAGTCCTTTGGGAAACGATACTTGGTCTTACCATTTTATTATTACTTGATACGATTCGGTTACACTTACTGAAGGTTAACAAAGAGTTTACCTCTCGGCCGAGTGGGATTTACCGCTCAATCTTTGTCTTCAATCTTGACAAGAGGGATTTACCTCTCGGCCAAGAGGGATTTACCTCTTGGTCTCTGATTTCAACAAGAGTTTACCTCTCGGCAGAGCGAGATTCACCGCTTGGTCTCTGTCTTCAAGCTTAACGAGAGGGATTTACCTCTCGGCCAATAGGGGTTTACCTCTTGGCCTTTAATTTCAACGGGAGGAGTTTACCTCTCGGCCGAGTGGGATTTACCGTTCGGTCTTTGTCTTCAATCTTGACGAGAGGGATTTACCTCTCAACCAAGAGGGATTTACCTCTTGGTCTTTGATTTCAACGAGAGGAGTTTACCTCTCGGCCGAGTGGGATTTACCGCTCGGTCTTTATCTTCAATCACGATAGGGATTTACCACTTGACAAAGAGAGATTTACCTCTTGGTCTTTAATTTCAACGAGAGAAGTTTACCTCTCGACCGAGTAGGATTTACCGCTCGATCTTTGTCTTCAAACTCTTCCTGAGAGACTTCGTCATTAAATATGAACTTTAACAAAGTTAGCAACCAGTGACTGAGTATGAATTGCTAGGCTTAATTTATTCCATAATGAAAGCATAAGACAAGAACATGAATCTAAATCAAATGAAATTGAATTTAAACATGACATTAATAAAGTTTTGGATGCTTCTCCTTAGTTTTTAAATCCATGGACCGATTGTTCACGATGACGACTTGGACTACAGCTATAGCTCCGCCTCCGCTCGTCCTTTCGATACGTCCACTCGGGACTTCTTCGCAAATATCCTTCCCTAGGAGGCTTCTTGTTTTCTTTATATACCTACGGAGGTGCCCCGCCCGAACGAGACTCTTTATTTCATTTTTTAGTGTGATGCATTCTTCTGTAGTATGTCCATAATTCTGATGGTACCGACAAATCTTCCTTTTATCTGCATTTTTTGGAGATGGCTTCCTTCGAGGTGTGAGAAGTTCTGCGTTTAGGGCTTCTTTGAGAACTTTTTCCCTATGTGAATTGAGAGTTGTATAATGGTGAAACTTGAACGTTCGGGGAAGCTCCCCACTTTTATCATTACTGTCAAACCATCACTTGTCGTCCCTTCTACCTCCACCTACATCTGCCTCTTGTTGTCGCTTCCTTTGTGACAATTGCATTTCCTCCATGCGGATGAACTCAGCTGCTCTCTCTTGGAGCTCTTCAATAATTTTTGGTGGTTGTGCATACAATTTTTCAGCAAAGTATCCTGACCTTAAGTATGAAGGCAAATTGTTAATGATAAAAAAGTGATTGACCTCTTTAACTCGTCGGGCGGTTTCGGTATACCTTTTCATAAAGGCCTTCAAAGTTTCCCCTTTCTCCTATTTAGTATTTACCAATTCTGCCGGTGTTATCTCCTATTTTCGAATGGAGGCGTATTGCCTTTTAAAGAGGGTTTCCATAGTGGCGAAGCAATCCACTGTGTTGGGAGGAAGAGTGTTGTACCATTCTCATGCCTCTTCCTTGAATGATAATGAGAAGGCTCTGCACATGACCGGGTCGCTGTTTGTATAGAATGTCATTGCATTACCGAACGTCCTTAGGTGATCGTCCGGATCAGTTGAACCATCATACTTATCCAATGCGGGCGGAGTTTTTTCTGGCATTGGAGTTTGCGTGATGGTTGTCGTAAAGGGAAGTAATGATAAACTGGCAGGTCGAACGGTCTGTAGGGGTGTTGGTTCCCTTCTACCTTGACCGTTCGGGTTGGCGTGATTATGGCTTGCTTCGTTGTCATTCTCTCGATTTGAGGCAGATCGCTCGGGAGGAACCCGTTCGGCCCTTAGCGCCGTCATCTCCTCTGCATGCCTCCGCTGCATCTCTTGCTGTGCATGCGCCTGCGCTTGTATGGTCTGCGCCCGTGCCTCAATCTAGACTTGTAACTCTTTGATTAAATCTTTGGTGCTCTACTCTTCCATATTTCTTGTGGTAACCATTGGGTGTCTTCAGCTTGCTCTTGGCCCCATGGTGGGTGCCAAAATGTTTCGGTGGGGTTTGTGAAACTGAGACACTAACCTTCGACTTGTGTGCTCCGCTTGTACGTTCCAGTTTAGATCGATTGGTTGTCACTTTGGGCAGGAGGGGGAGGTACCTGCAAAAGACATTCTGACGCTCAAGTTAGGAGCGGTTTAATGAACTGGTATATATTTTATTATCATAAATCAAGGTGTCTTTACCTGGGCATTAACCCTATATTTATAGGGCTTATAGCAATCAAGCTCATTAATTCATATTTGATATGGCAATAAATCCAATAATACTTGCTAATATACCTACTAACCGTCCATTAATACCATATTCTTGTGCAATATGACCTGTCAATCACTCATAAATAGCGTATAGTCGCATTTAATATGGCCATTAAACGTAATAATTAGCCATTAATGATATTTACCTTTCCTGATTGGTGTTTGTCTGACAGCCGGTCGGTTGCCTGTTTTGCCTCTAAATTCTCCTTAGTCGATCGGTCACCAGGTATAGTGCAATTTTATTGCTTATGTTGTCATATCAGTGTGGGAGGATGCGGTAGGTAACATAAAGTCACTTAATTGTGATATTTAGTCATGTGGTATTTTTTATACTTACAAATACACATATTCTGTTATGATAGAGAAACTGAAGTTGGTCTCCCATGGTCGGAAATTAATTGAACTTGTGATCCCTTGGGTTGTTGCATTGTGCAACATAAGTTATGCAATGACCAATAAGGGGTTGATTTCTATCTTCATCGAGAGGTGGCATTGAGACACCAACACTTTCCACCTATCTATTGGTGAGATGACGATCATGCTTGATGATGTGTCAACACTATTCCATATCTCTATCGTGGGTTAGTTCAGCACATATGTGATATTGGATTTCAATGTAGCTACAACAATGTTGCTTAAGTATTAGGAGTGGACTTGAGTGATGCCACGACAAAGATGATGCACGTGTATAGGTGAGACTTGGTTGTGTGATGTATATGAGAAGTATTGCATCCACCAAAGATGAGATTGTGCTGTGAGGGCTTATTTGTTGTGTCTTATGGGATGCATAATATTTGCTCATAAGAGTATGCCATCACTTATTATGTCATACTTGCATTTGCTTAGTTATATGTGGTTGCAATTTGTTGTAGATACCCTTGTAAGTTGGTAATATTTGTCAACATGGCTTATTTTCACTACGTATAAATGTATTCTAAAGGTCAATATGGCACAAACCATAACAACTTACACAATCCATCACTGGTGCCGATGCATCCAAAATAACATCCCAAGCCTACACAATCCATTAACATTCTACACTTTACTTTGACATTCATGATAATTTGAAACTGAAAGAAGGTGGGAATCTTCAGGAAAGATAATGCTAATTGCATTTATTAAAACGAGATCTATGTCACTAACAATTATTTTAGGCAACATGATTGATGATCCAATAATCTTGGTTGTTTTAGTGGACCAATGCTCTCAACAAGTTCTATTTACATATATCATAGAAGTCAATAACTTTAAAGTTTTCCAAGGTTTTAACACCCAAGGATACATTTTTCAGACGAGTGATTTTGGTAATTTTAACATATTCTATGGAAAGCACATGGGGTTGTTGATGACCGAAATAGAAAAAGGTACAATAATGAGAAATAAAAGACTCTTGATATAAGTGTATATTTCATTAGCGTCTTTGTTGGGCTGAACATTACAGCTAAATATAGTGAAAACTATATATAAGATTAATTTCTTTTGTGTTGAATGTACTTATAGGATCTTTTATTTATAATATAAGAAATATGAGTTAAATACAAAATATAAATAAAAAAATAATAATAAACAAACTAAAGATAAAATATAAAATAAAAATAATATATCTAATAATTATTAAATCGAACATATGGTAGTGGATTAACCTCTTTAAGAGATACACTTATCAACATAGTCCCGTGGTTGAGTCAACCAAAATTTGCAATGAATGTAGGTCTGACGGATAATACAGGTCAAAATTTAGGTTTATGACGGGTTCCTAATTACACCGAGGCATTTCTAAAGCAGCACAATTTAAAGATTATATCATTAAAATTAATGATTTGACTACAACACTTAATGCTTTTTTTCTTGATTGTTTCAAGTAATATGAAATACTTATTTATATTATTCAATGAAGGGATTTTTGATCAAGACTTTCCAAACTTCTAACGAATTTACTTATATAAAAAACTATAGCCATGATATTTTAGTTCTCAGTAGTCAGAGAACTGATTAGGCTGCCTTCCTATTGTTTTGGATAATGGATGTGGTGTGTTCGATTATTTTAGGGGGTTCCTCCCTGTTTATCATGGTGTGAGTAGAAGTTGGGACAAGATAGACAAAAAAACACGCACAGGTGTTTTTATTAGGATGAGTTAGTTTTAAGGTTTTTTGTTTAATAGATTTTCATCCTTTATAGACTTTCTTCAGGGCCTTGTTTCTCATGATTAGTTAGTTTTTCTAGTAAAATAACAAAGCTACTACAGTTGTCTAGGAAGGAAGGAACAACAAAGTGTCCTTTTGAGTCTAGAATCTTCATCACAAACAAATCTCAACATTTTAAAGAAATTACGTTTCTCTTTATTATGAAGATGAAATTGTCCATTCAATTGAAGAAGTCTCGAATACAAGCTTTAAAGAGCAGCTCCAACTGCCTGCAATAAGCACCATGACATAAGAAGAAGTATTATTCCTTGTTCAAATAGTCTTGAAGGATACATTTTTATCTCGGGACAGTATATGGCAATTCATAATTATATAAAGAAAGACCAGTCCATTTATCGAAGACATTGATATTACCGTTGTTGCAACTCACACACACACACACATATATATATATATATATATATAGAGAGAGAGAGAGAGAGAGAGAGAGAGAGAGGTAAATTTGCAGTTACATCCACTTGATTTTAAAAAAAGTAAGTTGGCTAGATAGCTGGCTAGCTAGATAGCAATTTAATTAGTTCCCTGACTATACAATATCTATAAATCATGTCAGTTTGTGAAACGTCAAGCTCCATATAAAATAAAATTATGTTTAAAATAATTCATGTTAGAAATTAATATGCTAGTTGCATATCATTACTCTATAAATTATGTGATTCAATTCCTAGAATTTGTTGTCAAATTGCTTTTGGTTCTTAAATTTTTTTATTATATAAAATGATTCTCGAATATATCAATTTCTGGATATGTTCACTCTTGCTAAGAGGTTCTTCTTTTGAGACGAAAAGAATAAACAAAACCATTGAAACCAGAATAATACAGATTAAACGTCTATTACAAAGAAATTTGTATATTTACTTAGATATCAATTCACCAGAATCTATGTAAAAGAAAATGGAAATAGTTTTAATGATTGTGTATACATGCCAGGCAAAGAATACTGTGGAAAGAGTATGTACCTTCATAATAGACGTGAAAGCATTATCAGTTTGTTAACGATTCCTTAGTAGACGAGTGAACAATGCGGACTTCAAAATCATTGAGTTTTGGTCCCACCCAACGACGAATGAATACAAGTGGAACATGATTGATGATCCAATAATCTTGGCCGTTTTTTGGATCAATGCTCTCAACAAGTTCAGTTGGCATATCACAGAAATCAATAACTTTAAGGTTATACAAGTCTTTGATGCCTGAGGGTACCTTCTTCAGATGAGTGATTTTGGTAATTTTGACATGTTCTAGAGAAAGCAAAGCTCCTTTATCTATGAGGATAGCACTTACTGTGTTCAAGCGAGCCAGATTCAGCTCCTTCAATTTTCGAAACCCTCCACTTTGAAAATGCAAGATTTCACCACCGTAGGCATTGTCCCAGATAGTAAGCTTCAACAAATTAGGCAAGTTTTCCAGCGATCTCAACGGATCATCTTTTAAATTGGATAAAGCCAGCCTCATCTTAACAAGAAACTCTAGTTTTGAAATCCAATTAGGCATCCTTTCCAGTCTTGTTTTCAAATGAAGCCGTTGAAGTTGGGGTATGAATGATATAGAGTTCAGGTCAATAATTTCACCCTCACCTATTGCTGTGATATTGAGTGATTCAAGGTGTGTCATCTCTGCCACTGAAGCACAGATTGCTTTTCCATGTTCCCTCCGAACACGCCTCAAGCCTAACTTTCTTAACTGCTTCAAGAATCTCAACTCTTGAATCAGATCTATTCCCCCGTGTTCTACCTCCACATAGCAAAGATTTTGAAGGGAAGTCAAGTTTTTTATACCCTTTTTCATCAGCACACCAGTTGTAAATCCCAAAAGAGAATATTCTGCTTCATAGTTTCGATGGAAAGCAAGAAGATGCCTTAACTTTTTGAGCTTGTTTATTTCACTTGGTAACTCATGAACAAGAGTTTCTCTTATATCCAAGGTCTCTAGGTTCTGTAACCTACCAACAGATTTGGGAATAGACCGTATTTTAGTATTCTTTAGATTTAGGTACTTCAAGTGGAAAATATTCCCTAAATTCCTGGGAACATGGTTTAAAGATGTACTTTCAAGGTCTAGTACTTTCAAAACTCTAGACTTTGAAGCCAAGAGACCTGTAAAAGGCTCAACCGTTCCTCCTTTTCCAAAAGCATGAAGTGCACGGATGTGTGTGAAGTTGGTGCTCTTCAACACATTATTGATACTGGTGTCTATAGATAGGCGTCTAGTTGATGCACTCGTCGCTGATTCATCATCACCTTCATGAACAAAATGGCAAAAACATAAATCCTTCATTTTTCTTACGATCAATTCGTGTAATAAATCATGAACTCGACAACTTTTAACTTTCCCTTCGAACCCAACCCAGGAGACTTGAACCAGACTTCTATAAATTAACTCAGATAAGTACTCATCCGCAACTTGCTCAAAAGTTCTCCCATCGGATTTAACAAAACCTTCAGCTATCCATTGCCGAGTTAACCTCTTGTGATTAATGGAAGAGTCCTCAGGATATATACCAAAATACAATATGCATGGATTCAGATAGTAAGGCAGGTCATCATAACTAAGAGATAAAATCTTTGTTAATCAAGTTAAATGGGCATTACGGTGCAACTCCAGGTTGAGATTTTGACTGACCTTTAGCCATTCGAACACAGTTTTTGATTTTGTTGAAAGTAGACCACCAATGGCCACAATCGCCAAAGGTAACCCCTTGCATTTTCCAACAATTTCATTTGACATTTCTTTAAGCTCTGCCGGACATTGACCATCAAGCTCAAATTTAAATGCCTTCTTGCAGAAGAGTTCCCATGCTTTGTCAGAAGGCAATGGTTGTAGGTTGTGAACATGAAGAGGAAAGGATTTCTTGAAAAACTCAACAACGTGGATCATTCTAGTGGTGATTATGATCCTGCTACTTCTATTGTTACTGGGCATGGCAAGTTCAACTTGGTCACAAAAATCTTCATGCCATACATCATCAAAAAATATCAAATACCTTTTATGCTCCAGGTATTGCCTCAATTCAGAAATCAGCGTCTTCTCGTCCATCTCTTCTAACATTTCTGGAAGAGGGTCTTTTGTCTCCCTACAAAATTGCTTGATCATGTCTGTGAATATCCCTCTCACAGTGTATGATTGGGAAACTGTGATGCAAGCACGGCAGTGAAAGTGGATTTTTACGTTTTCACTGTCAAAAACGTGTTTGGCAAGGGTAGTTTTTCCAAGACCCCCCATCCCTACCACTGAAATCAATGTGCGTTCTTTTTTGCCCTCCAACAACAGACTAAGCAATTCATCTCTTGGTAATTCAAATCCTACAATTTCCGTTTCTTCAATGAAAAGGGAACCCATTCTATGATCATTCCATCCACTTCCTTCTATCCTTCCAGTGCTACTGCTTGATGGTTTTTCTTGTAAAACTTGAAACTTATACCTTTCACTTCTTTCCTTGATTAAAGAAAGTGACAATTTAATGTCCTGAATCTCGACGGCGATCTGATGACGAGAAAGCGATGTTCTTATCAGGTTTGTAATCTTGCAAATTGAAGCCCCAAATCCATGACGGGGGACCTGATGAATCACCCTGAGGTATTCATCGATGACATCTTCTATGCGAACTGACACTTGTCTGACCTGCTTTACCCAAGTTCTTATTCCATCATTGGTGTTTGCTTCATCTGCTGCCTTTCTATCTGCATCTTTGAGGAAGGCTTGGATGCTTTCTAGTTCATCTCTGATGTCTAAAAACTCTTTGTTAATGCCACTTAGAAGACTTTTTTCTTCCTTTAGAATTTGGAAAACTTCTCCCAATGCAAAAGAAATCGCAGCTTCTGCCATTTCAGTCGTACTCTCTCACCTTACAATCATGCTGCTCTCATGTATCCAGCATAAGCATTTCAGAGATATGGTGCCTCTTGCCTTTTTTCTTTCTTGGGTGTACTGTTTGTGAATGCCGCAAGGAAATTCAATCTTTAAAGTCAACGAAGAGGAACGTGTACAGTTGTTGGAGGGCTACCAATTTTCTTTGTTTAACACCATGACCAGGCTTTTTTTTTCTATTGAAGTTTATTATACCGTAATTCAGGACTTTCATGGGATCCTCTGATGCTTTTTTACTCCTGCATCATGATTTCTTCTGTGTTCCCATTTATGTAAAACGATTAATTTGTCCTTATTTTATTATAACAATAATGAAAGTATTCCGTTTTTTGTTCAGATTAAACAATTTGTGAGTTGGAGAATCTCTACTCGTTTTATTTTTCATTCATATTATATAAATACTTATTCAGAAGATTACTCAGACATGAACTTGTTTGCAGTTGGAGTGGAACTTATTCAGTATAAATTTTTAAAGAGCAAGCTTAATCATTTCAGGTAACAGAGTAGATTAAGTTCTAGTTACCATTTTATTATGAAATTATCAGTTTTCTAAGCAAGTTTCCAATTTTTGTACTGAAAATGGATTTTGACCAGTAAAATTGGTGTTCCTGAATTCCTAGAAAAATTTCATCAAAGGACTGCTCAAATGGATATCGGTTTGGATATCATTGGCATCCCCTGGATTATGTGCAAGTGAAAATGCTCATGAACTCTGTTGTAAGCACCAATTTCACTGTAACCCTTATTATATAAACCATTTAGAGCTCTTTTTCCTAGCAATAGTTCTTATATTCTTTGAGTAAATATTCGTGTCCGACCTATTTTGTTGTCTTCTTTTGGAGTACATTTTCAGTTGCGTTTTGTTTCGTTAATGTAGTTACTTTCACTATTTATATTTTGCTTGGTGTTAGTTAGTTGGTGCATTTTGCCTTTTTCTGTAGCTTTACGTAAATTTCTCAATTTTTTTACTCAAAATTATGATCATTGCTTTCAAATTTGGTGGGAACCAGAAGCTTGTAATGTGAATGGTTGGTGGTGAACGTTATTATATGAGGAACAAAGAAGCACTTTCATTATAAAGATCGTTGAAAGTCTCACATCAACTAGAAATAAAGTAAATTTAAAATATATAAGTGGATCCAAACTTTATTTTACGAGCCAGTTAGACTTAAAATTCATTTTTTAACAAAAATGATATCAAGTTGATGATCAGTAATGAATTACATCTAACCTTGAGAAATATATAAAGAAAAACACATACAAATTCATTACACTTCTTAATGAAACGTGCTAGATGGAATCGTACAAAAGTCAAATTCACACGGAGTTCACATATTCCCTGAGTGAAGCAGGATAAGTTCAAGGAAATATGAACAAATTATTCGAAGATTCAAGCTACATGAAAGGAATGAACAGACAAAGTTCATCATTATTGGGAGCTGCAATACGGGCAAATTTGAATTTCTGTCAACAAAGCCACAACAAATAGTAAGTTTGAGCAGTATAGGTGCAAGCAATTAACTAAAAACATTTTTACAAGTTTTTACAACATGAAAGATAGTAAACTAAATTTTCAAATAATAGACATTAAGTGTAAATGTGGGTTGATGAAAATAAATATTAGAATTTAACACAAACACAATGGATTGCAAAGGCAGAATTAAAAAGTACACTACTCATTCATGCAGTCAATTAAAAACTATGACTTCAGAATGTGCAGAATCAATTTAAAATTTTGAACAAAAAAACATGGATCATTTCCAAATTTTTGCAGTTTTACTATCAACAAATTAGAAATATATATTCTTGATTTCTTAAAGTAGGTAGTTAAGCATGCATAAACCTTAGTTTTGTTTGAAAAATGTGAGAATAAACGTTTAGGGAAGATTGATTGATGAAATGGACAAATTTAAAATATAGAAAACAAACAGAAAGAAAAAACATATTCAGAATAGCATTATAAATGCAAACTTTCATAAGAACAAGAATAAAAATGGCTTGAGAAAAGTACCTTTACATTTCAGACAGTGGCTAATGTGGGAATAGCACGCAATTCATAGTCATGGAATTTTGGTCCCACATTCTGACGAATGAGAACAAGGGGAATATGCTTGATAACTGAATAATCTTGCCCATCTTTTTCTGGATCAATGCTTTCTACTAATTCAGCTGGCATATCAGCAAAGCCAAGAAATTGAAGGTTTTTCAAGTGTTTGAGGCCATGAGGTACCACCTTCATTTGGGGGTTATCTTTAAATCTGAAGTGTTCAAGACCAAGCAAAGCTCCTTCATCTATAGATATAGAATTTAATCTGCTTAGTCGAGTGAGATCCAGTTCCTTCAACCTTGGAAATCCTCCTCTTTTGAAGTGCAAAATTTCACCAATATATGCATTATCCCACATATTGAGTCGCAACAGACTTGGCAAATCTTTCAGTGAGTCCAGTGGATCTCCTTCCAAATTAGATAAACCAAGCCTTAACTTAACAAGATACTTAAGTTTTGGAATCCAATCAGGAAACTTTGTAACTCGAGCTTTCAAATTCAACACCAGAAGGGAGGTTGGAGTTGATAAAAAATTCAAGTCAATTATTTCATCCTGATCTTTAGCACTTACATTGAGAGATTCAAGGTGGTTCATCTCCCCTATTGCACTAGATAGGGCATCTGCGTATTCTGTTTTCACGTGCCTTATACCTAACTTCCTTAACTGTTTCAACATCTTGAGCTCTTGCATAAGCTCTAATCCACCATGATCAGCCTCCAAAAAGTAAAGCTTCTGTAAGGATTTCAAGCATCCAATACCCTTTTGCATTTTCACCCCAGTTGTGAAATTCAACATAGAGTACTGTCCTTCATATTTTCTATAGTAGACTGGGAGAAGTCTTAATTTTGTTAGGTTTTTTATCTCTCTTGGTAGCACTTGCACTTTTGTCTGTCTTAGATCCAAGGTTTCCAAGTTCAGCAACTTACCAACGGATCTAGGAAGAATCTTTACTTTTGTATGGCTCAAGTTTAGGTACCTCAGGTGGAAAAGATTCCCCAAATTATTAGGAACAGAATTTAACATAGTGCTTTCAAAATCAAGAACTTTCAAAAGCTTAAACTTGGCAGATAAGCTACCCACAAAATCTTCAGGCAATTCACTTTTCTTGAAGACATAAATAGCACGAATGCCCGAGTTACTGGTTTCCCTTAACACATTTTTGGAACAAGAAGCTATGGAAAACCTTCTAGTTTTTTCAACTGTGTCTAATTCATCATCTTCACGCATTAAGTGGCAAAAACTTAACTCATTCATTTTTCTGATGATGATATCACGCAATAAATCATGNCTTTCATGGGATCCTCTGATGCTTTTTTACTCCTGCATCATGATTTCTTCTGTGTTCCCATTTATGTAAAACGATTAATTTGTCCTTATTTTATTATAACAATAATGAAAGTATTCCGTTTTTTGTTCAGATTAAACAATTTGTGAGTTGGAGAATCTCTACTCGTTTTATTTTTCATTTCATATTATATAAATACTCATTCAGAAGATTACTCAGACATGAACTTATTTACAGTTGGAGTGGAACTTATTCAGTATAAATTCTTAAAGAGCAAGCTTAATCATTTCAGGTAACAGAGTAGATTAAGTTCTAGTTACCAGTTTATTATGAAATTATCAGTTTTCTAAGCAAGTTTCCAATTTTTGTACTGAAAATGGATTTTGACCAGTAAAATTGGTGTTCCTGAATTCCTAGAAAAATTTCATCAAAGGACTGCTCAAGTGGATATCGGTTTGGATATCATTGGCATCCCCTGGATTATGTGCAAGTGAAAATGCTCATGAACTCTGTTGTAAGCACCTTTTTCACTGTAACCCTTTTTATATAAACCATTTAGAGCTCTTTTTCCTAGCAATAGTTCTTATATTCTTTGAGTAAATATTCGTGTCCGACCTATTTTGTTGTCTTCTTTTGGAGTACATTTTCAGTTGCGTTTTGTTTCGTTAATGTGGTTACTTTCACTATTTATATTTTGTTTGGTGTTAGTTAGTTGGTGCATCTTGCCTTTTTCTGTAGCTTTACGTAAATTTCTCAATTTTTTTACTCAAAATTATGATCATTGCTTTCAAATTTGGTGGGAACCAGAAGCTTGTAATGTGAATGGTTGGTGGTGAACGTTATTATATGAGGAACAAAGAAGCACTTTCATTATGAAGATTGTTGAAAGTCTCACATCAACTAGAAACAAAGCCAATTTAAAATATATAAGTAGATCCAAACCTTACTTTATAAGCCAGACTTAAAATCCATTTTTTAATAAAAATGATATCAAGTTGATGAGCAGTAATGAATTACACCTAACCTTAGAGAAATATATAAAGAAAAACACATACAAATTCATAATTCTTAATGAAACGTGCTAGATGGAATCGTACAAAAGTCAAATTCACACGGAGTTCACATATTCCCTGTGTGAAGCAGGATGTGTTCAAGGAAATATGAACAACTTATTCGAAGATTCAAGCTACATGAAAGGAATGAACAGACAAAGTTCATCATTATGCAATACGGGCAAATTTGAATTTCTGTCAACAAAGCCACAACAAATAGTAAGTTTGAGCAGTATAGGTGCAAGAAATTAACTAAAAAAACATTTTTACAAGTTTTTACAGCATGAAAGATAGTAAACTAAATTTTCAAAAATAGACATCAAGTGTAAATGTGGGTTGATGAAAATAAATATTAGAATTTAACACAAACACAATGGATTGCAAAGGCAGAGTTAAAAAGTACACAACTCATTCATGCAGTCAATTAAAAACTATGACTTCAGAATGTGCAGAATCAATTTAAAATTTTGAACAAAAAAACATGGATCATTTCCAAATTTTTGCAGTTTTACTATCAACAAATTAGAAATATATATTCTTGATTTCTTAAAGTAGGTAGTTAAGCATGCATAAACCTTAGTTTTGTTTGAAAAATGTGAGAATAAACGTTTAGGGAAGATTGATTGATGAAATGGACAAATTAAAAATATAGAAAACAAACAGAAAGAAAAAACATATTCAGAATAGCATTATAAATGCAAACTTTCATAAGAACAAGAATAAAAATGGCTTGAGAAAAGTACCTTTACATTTCAGACAGTGGCTAATGTGGGAATAGCACGCAATTCATAGTCATGGAATTTTGGACCCACATTCTGACGAATGAGAACAAGGGGAATATGCTTGATAACTGAATAATCTTGACCATCTTTTTCTGGATCAATGCTTTCTACTAATTCAGCTGGCATATCAGCAAAGCCAAGAAATTGAAGGTTTTTCAAGTGTTTGAGGCCATGAGGTACCACCTTCATTTGGGGGTTATCTTTAAATCTGAAGTGTTCAAGACCAAGCAAAGCTCCTTCATCTATAGATATAGAATTTAATCTGCTTAGTCGAGTGAGATCCAGTTCCTTCAACCTTGGAAATCCTCCTCTTTTGAAGTGCAAAATTTCACCAATATATGCATTATCCCACATATTGAGTCGCAACAGACTTGGCAAATCTTTCAGTGAGTCCAATGGATCTCCTTCCAAATTAGATAAACCAAGCCTTAACTTAACAAGATACTTAAGTTTTGGAATCCAATCAGGAAACTTTGTAACTCGAGCTTTCAAATTCAACACCAGAAGGGAGGTTGGAGTTGATAAAAAATTCAAGTCAATTATTTCATCCTGATCTTTAGCACTTACATTGAGAGATTCAAGGTGGTTCATCTCCCCTATTGCACTAGATAGGGCATCTGCGTATTCTGTTTTCACGTGCCTTATACCTAACTTCCTTAACTGTTTCAACATCTTGAGCTCTTGCATAAGCTCTAATCCACCATGATCAGCCTCCAAAAAGTAAAGCTTCTGTAAGGATTTCAAGCATCCAATACCCTTTTGCATTTTCACCCCAGTTGTGAAATTCAACATAGAGTACTGTCCTTCATATTTTCTATAGTAGACTGGGAGAAGTCTTAATTTTGTTAGGTTTTTTATCTCTCTTGGTAGCACTTGCACTTATGTCTGTCTTAGATCCAAGGTTTCCAAGTTCAGCAACTTACCAACGGATCTAGGAAGAATCTTTACTTTTGTATGGCTCAAGTTTAGGTACCTCAGGTGGAAAAGATTCCCCAAATTATTAGGAACAGAATTTAACATAGTGCTTTCAAAATCAAGAACTTTCAAAAGCTTAAACTTGGCAGATAAGCTACCCACAAAATCTTCAGGCAATTCACTTTTCTTGAAGACATAAATAGCACGAATGCCCGAGTTACTGGTTTCCCTTAACACATTTTTAGAACAAGAAGCTATGGAAAACCTTCTAGTTTTTTCAACTGTGACTAATTCATCATCTTCACGCATTAAGTGGCAAAAACTTAACTCATTCATTTTTCTGATGATGATATCACGCAATAAATCATGAACTTGACAACTTTTAACTTTACCATCAAAGCCAACTCTGGAGACCTGAACCAAACTTCTACTTATTAACTGTGTCAGATACTCTTCAGCAACATCCTCCATTGGTCTTCTCTCCTCATTTTTTATGAACCCTTCAGCCATCCATTGCCTGGTTAATCTCTTGCGACTGATGGAGTAGTCCTCCGGATATACACCAAAATACAGCATGCATGATTTCAAATTGTGAGGAAGATCATCATAACTAAGAGACAAAATCCATTTCAAACTATTCAAATGTGTATTGCGCTCTAACTCCATTCTCAGATTCTGACACACCTTTCTCCATTCAAGTATGCTTTTTTCTTTTGTTGCCAAAAGACCTCCCATACAAACAATTGCTAGTGGTAGCCCTNTCGAGCTTTCAAATTCAACACCAGAAGGGAGGTTGGAGTTGATAAAAAATTCAAGTCAATTATTTCATCCTGATCTTTAGCACTTACATTGAGAGATTCAAGGTGGTTCATCTCCCCTATTGCACTAGATAGGGCATCTGCGTATTCTGTTTTCACGTGCCTTATACCTAACTTCCTTAACTGTTTCAACATCTTGAGCTCTTGCATAAGCTCTAATCCACCATGATCAGCCTCCAAAAAGTAAAGCTTCTGTAAGGATTTCAAGCATCCAATACCCTTTTGCATTTTCACCCCAGTTGTGAAATTCAACATAGAGTACTGTCCTTCATATTTTCTATAGTAGACTGGGAGAAGTCTTAATTTTGTTAGGTTTTTTATCTCTCTTGGTAGCACTTGCACTTATGTCTGTCTTAGATCCAAGGTTTCCAAGTTCAGCAACTTACCAACGGATCTAGGAAGAATCTTTACTTTTGTATGGCTCAAGTTTAGGTACCTCAGGTGGAAAAGATTCCCCAAATTATTAGGAACAGAATTTAACATAGTGCTTTCAAAATCAAGAACTTTCAAAAGCTTAAACTTGGCAGATAAGCTACCCACAAAATCTTCAGGCAATTCACTTTTCTTGAAGACATAAATAGCACGAATGCCCGAGTTACTGGTTTCCCTTAACACATTTTTAGAACAAGAAGCTATGGAAAACCTTCTAGTTTTTTCAACTGTGACTAATTCATCATCTTCACGCATTAAGTGGCAAAAACTTAACTCATTCATTTTTCTGATGATGATATCACGCAATAAATCATGAACTTGACAACTTTTAACTTTACCATCAAAGCCAACTCTGGAGACCTGAACCAAACTTCTACTTATTAACTGTGTCAGATACTCTTCAGCAACATCCTCCATTGGTCTTCTCTCCTCATTTTTTATGAACCCTTCAGCCATCCATTGCCTGGTTAATCTCTTGCGACTGATGGAGTAGTCCTCCGGATATACACCAAAATACAGCATGCATGATTTCAAATTGTGAGGAAGATCATCATAACTAAGAGACAAAATCCATTTCAAACTATTCAAATGTGTATTGCGCTCTAACTCCATTCTCAGATTCTGACACACCTTTCTCCATTCAAGTATGCTTTTTTCTTTTGTTGCCAAAAGACCTCCCATACAAACAATTGCTAGTGGTAGCCCTTTACATTTTTGAACAATTTCCTTTGACATGTCCTCAAGCTCAGTTGGACATTGCTCACTGGGTTCAAATCTAAATGCCTTCTTGCAAAAGAGCTCCCACGCTTTGTCTGGAGACAAATGTTGGAGTTTGTGAACATGAACAACAACTGATTTCTTAAAATACTCTGCAACGTGCATGTTTCTAGTGGTGATTATGATTCTACTTCCCTTTTTGTTTTTAGGCAAGGCATGTTCAATCTCATCGGAAAAATTTTCTTTCCAAACATCATCAAACAATACCAAATACCTCTTTGACTGAAGGTATTGCCTCAATTCTGTTACTAATGTCTGATCATCCATATTGTGTAATCCTTTCGGAATAGGATCATTAGCGTCCTTGCAAAACTTTTGTACCATTTCTGTCAATAACTCCCTCACAGTGTATGATTGAGAAACTGTGATGAAAGAACGACAATAAAAGTGTCTTTTCACGTTTTGATTATCGAAAACATGTTTAGCAAGAGTGGATTTTCCAAGTCCTCCCATGCCTACCACAGAAATCAATGAGAGTTGGTCGGTTCCTTTTATTAAGCAACCGATCAACTCATCCCTTGGGAGTTCGAATCCCACCACTTCAGTTTCTTCAATGAAATGTGAAGCCATTCTTGGGTCATCCCATTTGAAATCTTTTGCCCCTTTAGAACTGTTCAAAGATCCATCTTCAAATGTAGATTGAAACTTGTACCTTGTTAGAGATAATACTTGCAATTAGAAAATAAAATCTCAGAAAGTTACAAAGATAAAGGTAGAATTACTATATATACCATTGAGCATATATCATT